GGATGAGGGCAGATTTGTTATTGGCCGACCTGGCATTAAACAACAGCACCGTCAGGCCCGAGGGGCGACTGACGAGACTCCCTGGCACCTTCTGGCTGGGAGCGAAACCAGAAGTAGGGACAGGTGTCAGCCATCTGTCCCTCCTTCTTCTATGCGGACACGTTAAGCCCCCACCGCTATTACATCCATTGCCCATCACCACACCAATGGCGGCGCCAGTGCGCTCCCCAGGAAACTCAGGCGGCAACATGGCCAGGGACGACTCCATAAAAACAAGTTAAAACACTTTAAAATTATAAAACATTTAAAATTGGCCGTTCAATAGAAGGGACTGCCACAACAAAAGAGCAAGTCCCCTGGCCGGCCCAGCCCCCCCTGAACGGCGCCCCCAAACGGCGGCGACCGCCCTTTGGCCGACGCCTTTCAGCCGCCGGCCCCGGCCGCTGCCAGCGCTTTGTAGCCGCTGGCCGCCCGACGCCCCACCCCGTCCGGGCACGCCTGCCACGTGTGCAGGGGCGTGGCAGGGCAGTCAGGTAGCGGCGGAGTCGGCGGCGCGGCGCGGTCTTTGGGCGCGGCGCGGTCTTTGGGCTCGGCGCGGTTCTCGGGCGCGGGATAAGGTGGAGGAGGAGTATGAGGTAAGCTGCCTTGAGCCCTTTGTAGGAAAAAGGCAGGATATAAATCCAAAAATAAATAAATAAATAAATAAATAAATGTTAGTCTCACAGTTGGGGTTGGAGAATGGGGAAAGTAGTAGACACTAAGCCAAACATTATGAAAGACAGGGGGAATGATGGGTGGAAAATTGTATCAACCCTAAAAAAAAAACCCCTCACAGCAATTTCTGGAATGTAAAACAGAGCAAGCTGTTGGGCTAAGAAAAGATCCTGGGTATCTTTGCATATTGAAATAATGCTACTTTTGAAAAATATGTAGCTATATGTGGCTGTTGCAATAACATTACGAAATATCTGAACCAAAAAAGCCAGTTTTAAAATGCTTTCCCATTTTGTACAAGAGCCTGCAGAGACATATGGAAAAGTCCTATAATGAAAAGCATAGATCCGGGGTCAATCTCGAAATCACTGTCATTAAAGAAAGAACTGAAATGACAAAATTATCTTGTCCATTATCTCCTCCTGTAGCTGTCAGCATGATGACTTTGTTCTCATTCAAGACCAAGGTCTATCAATACATCTTATCCCCAGGGCATATAATTCCCCAGAATTTATGCTTTCAACTATGTTCAAGAGCCTCTTCTCATACTAAAGGTACCCCACAATGTCTATTTGA